ACTCACATTTTGAGAAGCCTATTTCTTTTGTGTTACTAAAATGCCAAGATTTTAATGGAATGCTTTATTAGGTTTCCAAGTGCTTCTGGCCAATAACAAGCAAAGTTCAGCTCAGTAGTTTTAATCTCAGAAACATCAAATCTGTTTTCCCCACATGTGAGAAGAGCCATGCAGCTTTTAAGAAGATTAAAGCTATAAATTCTAACATTACAGGGGCCAATGCTTTCACGGTCCATATCAGTATGGGTTATTTTATGCAAGTTTTAACTCGTGTGTATTTCCAGTACTATTGATAGCCTTGAGTTTTGACTGGGCTTCCCCCATCCCTCCCCATCCATCTGTGTACTAAGGTATGCTGTTTGTAGAAGGTGAATATATTACTTTTTCTTTTATTCTGTCTCTCTGCTTTATTCTACTGTAAAGAGGCAAATTACATCATTTTCATTATCAGTGCAGCTCAGAAAACCATCTGTTACTCAAAGACATGAGGATCAGCAGTCAGCCACCCTCAAAATAAGCAGCTGTAAATCTAGAATGCCTATACTGTCTAAATGCAGAGAGGCTTTTACATTAATCTCCTGGACTTGCTGAGTAGCTGGTACAGTGCCCAAACACAAGTAAACTCAATTAGTAAAAATAGACATGATGTGGCAGTTCAATATATGGCATTTAAGCATGTGTGCTACAAACCAGAAGGGCTCAGTTCAAGTCCCAGATACTCTGTTCTGTTTTGCACATATGATTCAGTTCTTTTGCTGTTTGCCAAATACCTTGTTAAAAGCAATAGTAGTATTTTCACAAAGATGCGGTACTGCTGGCATTTACACAGGTGTAAATCTGGAGGAACTCAGCTGACTTGTTAGGACTCCAGATGCTCAGCATCTCTGAAAAATTACATTTTACAACTGTCACTTGAAAGCTAGTATGCAATCCAGCTTTAATGTTGATGTGCTTTATATGTGCAGAATTACATAGAACATACTGTTATAGGCAGATAAGAAACATTTACAAGAAACATACTTTCTGGAGCTTTGCTCTGCATAACAGGGCAGGTCTGGGTACGTTAATTTGCAGCTTAAGACTTACAGGGAAATGTCCTTCCTTAGCTCCTTTAGCAGTATGGCAAACTACAGCTCTTTTTTTCATGGCAAGCTGATCAAAGTCAATTTATTCAAGTGCAAGTTCTCTAAGATTCTTGTGCTCTGCTGTGTAACAGAAGGGCTTAGGTCTGGGTGTGGTGTTCTTGACCTTCTAGTCTTTTGTCTTTTCAGCCTGTTTTGCTTCCTCTGTCTGCCCAGTTTTAGCCAGGAGAACGATCTAAAGAGACCCTGTTTGTTTTCCGTGCACCTTATGATAGGCTGCCATTGTGTAACGACGTACAGTATGCAGGATAAAACACCCTGCTTATTATAGCGTAGTTAAAAGGCCTGTCACTATTTCCATTTCAGATTCCTATTTTTAGGAGTTTACTACTGAGCTGTAACAAATTGCAGGCAGGAAACTTGGCAGTCACATTCCCAGCCTAAGAGCGAATTCTTTTACCAACTTTAAATAAATAAATTAATTAATATTAATGGCATGTGCTTCCAGCATGCAAAATAAAGGAGGTTTTGTTATTGTTTTGTTTGTTTTATCCTTGAAACAAAAGATGAAGCTTAAGGAGAGTATTTACATACCAAGCGTCCCTACACAAGAGCTATAGAACACACGAGCAGTGTTTCTAAGTGATGGAGATGATTATGTGGTGGACATTCCTAACTCTCCTAAAAGGAATATCAATAAAGAAGGGCTATTAATCAATGCATACAAGGTATTAATTCCCCAAAGCTGGAAAGAGCAGAAGAGAGTTGTGTATCATAAATACTGACAATGCTGACAAACCACAGCTTGATAACCACGGTGGGTGAGAGCGAAATTCTTCAGTGTTAGCTTAAAAGGAACAAACATCAAAGAAAAGAAAGTAGTAACACCACAGAGTTACAGAGTTTGAAGTAAAACAACTAACAGGTGATACATTTTAATGGTAAATGTATTTTCAGTATATTTTACCATTCCCAATTTTAATTATACAGCCAGCCATTCAGAGTTTGGAATCTTGAAATAATTTAAAAAAACCAATTTTCGGTCTGTTGTCCAGGTAGCAGGGATTTCAAGCTGGCAAATGCTTCATGCTCATCTTTCTGTTCATTGAAGCTCTGAGTACTATAGGAAATTTAGGAACTGATGACCTAATGACCTGCATGAATTCAATGTGCTGTCAAGGGAAAGTGCTACTACAAGAGTAGCAGGTTCAAAGGAAGCAATATATTGGAACTTAAGTCACACAATTAACATTTTGGCTAGTAAGAAGCATTATAAATGCTAACATGTAAAAGATAGGCAAATTCTTACAAAGCAAAATAAATGGGGAATAGCGGGTTCTTCAGGAATGAAAAGGGCTTGGTGGCCGGTGGAATTTTTTTCTTTCATTTTGTTTTTGGGAAATTATAATTTTTGCAGGCTAAAATAAGAAAACAATGTTATTTCACCTTTGGTGAAATCTACCTTTTTGCCCCACTGATGGTTTGCTATTTCTGAAAAATCAGCTGGCCTCAGAAATGCAGTCTTTTCTCAGAGGGTAACTGTTCTGAGAGATATGACAAATAATGGAGTGTTTCACTGCCTCACTTACTGCAGACAACATAACCTGAGTGCCTACATTGTAAACTGCCTAGGGAGGAAATTTGGCCTCATAGAACTGACCTGAGCATCTAGTTCGAACAGGAAAGGGGTGCTGATCCTCATTTAGGGATCTGAGGGATTATTAGAATATTAAGAAAAGATTTTAGGAAATTACCAAAGGAAAAGCTTCCATGAGAAGTCTTTCATTTCCAGCTACACGCAGATTTTGTGATCTCACTGGAGAGACCTTAAATGTGTGCAAGGCTGAGATAAATGTGTCTTCATTCAGATAAATGTTTTTGGAGGCCAGACAATGACTCCTGAACAAGTTGAGCCTTTTAGGGACTGTTGTAGAGCCTGCAAGTTTGTCTTCTGCAGTTTTCAGGAGAATTGCTTACAAGGGACTTGAAGAAACCGCTCAACTTGGCAGTGACTCCTGCTGAGCTAAAAGCTTCTGGGAATGTTCCTGGGAACCTCTGATACTCCAAAGAGACTCTAGCAGGAGACAACACGGGCACTGGGATGCTTGCCCAGATGATAAAGTATGCAGGAATTTCAGTACAGCTGATAAACTCTTCTCAGGACCCTATGAAGTATATACATGGTGTAACAATGCCTATAATCTCTCAGAAATATATTTATGTTTATTTTATATATATATATATATATATATATATATATACACCGGGGCAGCAACCATTGGTATACAGTACTTGTGAGGTCTGTCCCCTCTGCCCCCTCCTCCCACACAGGGTACCTGATTTGACCCTGAGAATTATTCGAGGAATTGCCTGCCCTTTCCCACCCTCCCTGCTCCCCCCGGCTAAACATTTTTAACCAGCAGAGGGAAACAGAGGGGCTCAAGAATTAGAGCACTTATATATGTGTGATACGTAACAAAGACTCAGCAAAGAATATATCCTATCGTATAAACATTTAAGTAAGCCAGCTGAAGCTGTAATGCAACAAGGGAGACAAAGTCTCTTAAATATGACTTCTGTTTGCAAGATTTTGGGGTGTATTTTAAAAAAAAAAAAAAGTACACTTTGAACTGTTTTTGGCAGTGAATCGCGTTGGAGGTGCAGGAGGTGGTGATGCCTCTGTGTGCAACTATCATGTTTATTTCTGGGCACAGTGTCACTGCTGGGGACAGACTGTCAAAAGGACCAGTATTCAGGGAATGGCAGCAGAAGCAATTGTAGCGGGGGCAGAGGTGATCTTCGCTGAGATTCTCTCTCTGGGCTAACCTACTTTGCATTTACCAGCAGGCGAAGGGTGTTTATCTGTGCAGTTATTGCAAAGTAGCTGGTGTCCTGTAAATCCACACCCTTGAATGCCTCACTGTTACATGTTCACAAGGCCGTACCCTCAAGCACAAAGCTAACTTTAAATGTATGATTCAGAATCATTAAGACAATGGGACAACTTGTACACCTTAAATCGGACACCAAGTTTACACACCTAGCTGAAGATGGGCCAAGTAAGGGAGAGAAATGACTTAATATATAGCCTAAGAAATGAGATGTATCATGGAAAATGGAAAGACGGATTAAAGGGCAGGAATAAACATGTGGCAATCCCAGCTTTGTAGTATGTCATATTTTTCAGACCTGTTAGGCATACAAGTGTGTGAAATACTTTCCTGAAATTGGTGGGAGATGGCCCACCATATCTAATTTTTAACACCACAGTGGAGTGGTTGACAGAGGTAGTTCATGAAATATGAAGGGGTTTAGTTTGTGTTGCTAAACAAGTATGAAAAAAATGTAGATAGAACCATGGGCTTATTTTTGTTTACATTAATACTATTCTGTCTTGTCCTTGATATGTGGAGTTGTTGCTTTTCTGAGTCCTTGGCTAAGCCTTGGGGAAAGAGAGCATTCTGTATTGCTTTCATGGTAATAATACTTGTACTTCACT